ATTTCTACCTTATTAAGGAAAATGGTACCTATTATTAATAACGGTTGTTTCTGAAACATTACTAAAATTTTCGAAATTTTGTTTTTCTACAAAATAAACTATACTATTTAGAAAAAAATTTATTTCTCTTATAATTTTATAAAAAATAACAGGGGAATATTTACATTTCTTGATCTATTAAACAAAACGATAAATTATCTCGACGAATGACACCATGTTCTAGTACATTTTTGTTGGTGGTTTCATGGGTTTCATATCAATTTTTTGTAATTGTAGTTTACACGTACATATACCTCTTAACACTTGTTTGCTTTATTAAAAAAGTGTGTTGTTGTGATTTACGTCGAAATAAGTCAAAACCAACTTGAAACCCCATATAAAATCAAAAGGGAGAAACGGAAAAAAATTGAGCCTGTAAATGAACACAAGTCAGAAACAAAAATAGCTATCTAATAATAAAAAAATAAAATTTGATTCTTGTGCAGCTTCATCTATATCATTAACTGTTTTTGGTTTTTTAATGGTTTTTCTTGGTGATGAAAATTCCGATATCTCACGGTTATCGATTCTTTTTTTCTCTCCAGAAATGCGGACGACAGTGTTTTTAGATACTCCTGTGGCTGCAGCAACACGATCATTTACATTTTTAAATGGTATTGAAGGTGAATTAAAGTTTCCTTTTCTTCTCATAACCTCTATAACATTGGCTATTATTTCGCGAGATTGACTGTTAATCACGCGGCCTCTTAATTTGCTATTAAACTCCATACTTAGGTTCTATTAAACTGTAATGAGTAAAAAACACAAACGAAAATAAAAGAAATGTTTTAGCGAAATTTACATCTGACATTTACGTCTGAATGAAATAGTGAAATACTTGATGCGCAGAGTGTACTTTCATTGCGTAAATCCGTCGAGATGCCTGTCAGTAGCGCTTTCTCTGTCTAGCCGTCGAAAGCCTCTATACTCTGTTTTTAAACTAAGAGGAGCGATTTGAATTTAAGTTGGCAATTCTGTAGCCTTCTGATTGGTCAGATTACAGTCAGTTTCACACATTACTTTTTAGCATTAACATCAGCTAATAATTGATATTGTTAACAGTTCTGACATTTTATAATTTGATATCTCATCCATTACTTAGTTTTTTACTTTATTTCGTAAATAATAGTTCTTCAGTAAGCAATTGTATTGAAAATCTATAATTATGGATCCTTCTACACTGAGTACTATTAAAGGTAACAATTCCTGAAAAACCTTACAAGAAAGGGAAGACACCTTATTATTTTACATGCTGATCCTAAAGTTTTGTAGAAAATGCATTATTGGTTTTTGAAGGTAAAAAGATGGAAGATTACCATGAAGAGATGAATTCCGAAGTATTTTAGAAAAAAATAATTTTATTACTGATTTTTTAAAACTAAAAATTGATGAATTTCTAACCAAAATGATTAAAATGTAACTAAATATTCAAGCAAATTTTATTTATTAGAATAGAATAAAACTATTTACAAAATTGTTATAACATAACATTTAAAACACCATCTACTACTTTAGGAACAATCTTAATTTGGCACAAGGAGTTATTACTTTCACAAAAAATATTTAAAAAATACTTAAAATTAATACCTAAGTATGTATGAATAGTTCACTTTAAAAAATATATGTTGACATGTAGTGTTATGAAAATGTTGGTTCCAGTTTTTAAAACAAATTCTGACTCATAGGCCTGTAAACTTTTAAATGCCTTTATTTGCCCTCTAGCGCATTAACCATGGGTTAACACTAAATAAGCCATAATATCCACATTACTCGTAGAAGAGATACCAGTTACTGTGTGATCCACTTGTCATTCACTGATTAACTTTTACTTTTTATACCTATAACAAATATATCCTTAAAAATGTAAACATATCTTTATATTTTATACTAACCTGGCTACATCTGGATATTCCATTAATAATTTTCTTAAATATTTAATATCCATTTTAAAAAGATCATAGTTATTCTCAAAAAGTCGATTTCAAAAGCAAGAAAAAAGTATTTCTGACATTAATCAACAACCATATTGACTTTAATTTGACAGTGACATTTCGTTTTAGACACACATTTCAGATCACAATAATGTGAAATTTGCGACCGTTGTCTGGGACCAATTAAAAAATTACTTCTATGACATTTATTCGTTTCTTAACCGCTCATTGGCCGTTCACCGACTAAGGCCGATAATAGTATATTATGCAACGATCATGTAATGATGGTTATTAATACACGAGCATTAACCGGGATACGAAACGAGCCAAAGGCGAGTTTCGTATGGTTTATGCGAGTGTTTTAATAACCATTACATGAGAGTTGCATACGCTATTTTTTCTACACCCGATAAATAATCAAGACCTATAAATATTCTATTTATATTGGTATTGAACACAATAACAGTAATTACTCGTATTTCTATAAAAAATTCTACAAAATTGTAATTAATGGTATTACCTTGGGTACTGGTATTACCACAGATTTTTGGGGCAAAATATTTTGTACTGCATTTTCTCCTTTCTCCTATATGTGTGGAGGAGTGTTCTATATCGCTGATATCAGACATTTTAATATTATAATTATCGAAGTTTAGCTATCTACGAAAATTTAATACGTTTTGACAACTAAAACAATTACATAGGAATTTAGGACAAACGTCAAACATCATGCTTGATTGAAAAATTGTAGGTTTCTATTGATTAAAAATCTGTATCATAATGAAAAATCTGTATCATAATGGGTATCATTATGAAACGGATTATGGGCATATAAGTGCATTATTATAATACGGGTGTAGAAAAAGATATTTATTTCATAAATTTTGAACACCACTATATTTCGAAACTCGCTCTTAGTAACAAATCTAGTTACTTTTCCCTGTGTAAATGCGTCTTTTCAATTCGCTCCTCCTAGTTTAAAAACAGAGTATAGAAATTTGATGAACTGTAGTATTTGATACCTTACAATTTTTGCAGCATATTTTATCCGTAGTGCCTGGTATTTTTTTCATGATTATCACCACATATCGGACAGACTACTTCATGTTGACAATTTGATTTGTTGTGGTAGTATCCTTGATATTGATAACATCTTTGAATATCCAAATCTTCATATATTGAAGATATGCAATACAAAGTTTGCCTACAAACTTAATATTTTAAAATGTTGAAGGGCTACATTCACAGAATACTCTTAAGGTACTGAAATCTTGGTTTTTCCTTACAAAAACTACTTTGATCTCATCATTAGGTATGTTATTCTGTTCAGCTATAAATTCTTTAATTTGTTCCTTATCTAATCATTGGTTAAAATTCACTATTTTTGTTCTAGGTTTCTTCCATCTTACTTAATTCTATATTGTAGTTCTTTGATTATCATTGCTCCTTGATTTCTTGTTTTATTACTTGCAGTTTTTAAACTATGTACTGCCACTTACAATTTATTTAAATGATGAGCTTTTTCAACATCCTTTTTAGTTTTATCAGGGCTTTGGTTGGTATTTTTTGGTTTTTCAATAATGCTAGAAAAATTGTCTTTCGTAAATTGATTCTGACCATTGGTAATTTGATATTGAGTTTTAGTAATTTGACGAAGGAAGAAACAAAGTGTTTAACCTTTTCTAACTCTGTAATTTTTGATTTTAACAAATTAATTATTTCTTCTTTATCTTTGGTGATCTAATCTTTATCTTTGCTTTGTCCTAAAAGGATGTCTATTAGCTCGTAGTCTCTGCATTTTTTACAAAGAAACTTTAACAAACGCCCAACTAAATAATAATTTGAAACCTTTCAGAAATATAATACAGTAATATTTCAGAAATGTATTCTAGTTATCAAACATAAAAAGGTTTCTAAAATATTTCTGTGCGTGAAATATTGCCCAACTCTGTTGGAGATTCATTATATATAATGGCGTTCAATCTTAAGATTTTACGTGCGGGTAAATTTAAAGATGTTGTGAGAAATGTAGGAAATATTAACATTGAGTAGTACAATTCTAAATATAGACTTAGTTACCAACATTTAAAATGCAATTATCAAAAACACTCTCTTTAAAGAATATAAAGTTTTATAAGTAAGTTTTTATAATATAATTAATAAAATGTTAATATCTAATGACTGGCATGAAGTCATCTTGTTGACTTTCAATTTAAAATTACATGACAAAATTGTTTATTAGAAACTTATTTAGATATTTGCAAACCAGTTAGTAAAACTCATTTCATTTTTAGTCAATTTAGTTATGCAATAAAATAATTTCGAAATACTGCCGCGAGAGTTGCCGGAACGTAATGATTATTGATTAAGATGTTTTCTATTGGTCTTAATGAATAATTGTTATACTGTATAAAATAAATAGTCCAGTAAATAATTATTCATTGAACTAATGTTTTTAACTTGCTATAAAAGTCTTTCAAAATGTTTAATTTGATATAAATGAAACTCGAAATCTCTACAATCTGTACTATTTAAATATTACTATCTGGAAGCGTACACAGAGAGAAATTTGTATAAGTATGTAACCAAGAATGCGTATTTTAAATGCAGCATGACTATAATTCTTAATTGATATAAATTATTCTTTATTGGAATCCTGGAGTTCTTAAATTTATATTGCCGTGTTTAATTGAATCAAAAGTTGTAAATAAGCAACGATTTTTTAGCTTGCGTACCTAAAAATTTCCTAAATAAAGATTGTAGCATGCTTGGCTTAAAAACAAGCCCGAAAATGCTTATTTTTGCTTAATATGAGCATTAATCTCTTTCTGTGTAACTTCAGGAACTATGCCGTCAATTTTGCATGGATTCAGCGGAACTTTGACGGCCTAAGGCCTAAAGTTACATTTTCATATATTATAAATTTGATAGTTGATAAAAAAACCCCCTAATTTTTTAAAATCTGACTTGTAATCTATTAAGTTTTAGAGAAATTAGTTTTAGGTATTTTTAATAAAAAACTTTTTATAGGTACAATCGGAGCAGTTTCCGATGGGATGCACTATGGTTGGACGGCGCCTGTCCTTCAAGTGCTGGAAAGCAACAAAACACATATACATCTTGAAGAGGCTGACCACATATGGCTAGAATCTATTTATATGATTGGAGGCATTACAGGATTACCAGTACGTATTTTTAATTCTATTAAATTAAATTTTTGGTCATAATTATAAGTAATAACTCCTCTGCTGTTAATGTTAAGTATGTCTTTGAGAATAGTAGTGATAGATGGAAGCTGCGTATAAAGGGTTAATAAGCAGCTTTTTTACAATATCAAATTACAAAAATTATTTTCATAAAGAGACGTTTTTTTCTTTATAGAACTTTTAAACTAACTCTATGATCTCCTACCTCAGTCAATATGTCAATAACTAACTTTCTTTTAAAATAGGTACATACAAGGTACCCCCATGTCCCTATTTTTATCAGAGCAAGACTTAATCCTAGTCACGGCACCAATGTAACCTGTCAATCCAATGGTCTCTCATGTTTTGCCCATAGCTTTTTTATTATATCCACCTCTTTTGTAATATTCAAAGAAATGTATACTAGTAATGATCTAGTTTAATAAAATTATTTTCTACACGGCCACTACTAAACAACATATAATAACAGAAAGAAAATATTCTTGCTCTAGAGATTGCCATACAATTCTGAAACAGTTGCCTCTTATGTATTTTATGCATATTACATTTTAACTCTAATGACAGAATGTTCATTCTGTAATAGCTACTAGACAATGGCTCTCGCATCGAAGGTAGCCATTGAAAATTCCTTTGTCCAACAAAAAGACTGTAATTCTGTCTTTATAGCATCTCGACGATAGATGTTAAATGTTTTACTTAGCACCTCAGATGATGAAATAGAGCTATTTAACCATGTTTCAGTTAGACAAATAATCTGTTGATCAGTATTTAAAGAATTTTTAAAAGTTGTTGGGAGCTTGGACTCCAGTCCACGTACATTTTGATGTAGATGTGATATAACCATTAAAAGGTAAAAAAATTAATAAGTTTGGGCAAAGAATATTTTTATTGTATTTTGCTAATACTAAGCTCATTGAAAATAGTTAAAACACGACTATTTTCATCTTGCCTAGTATAAATAGTACCATGTCGTACCCATACGTATTTATACTTTGCAGTTTTTGCTGCATCCTTCGTTTTTTTTCAAAATAGCTTTGGAATGACGGATCAGGTGTTCATTAATAAACAGCTGATTTGAGACGTTGCCTACAGATAGTCCGGGAGTTTGGGTACCTCTTGCGAGTTGTTTGGTTTTGGCTGCAGCTAAAATGGTACATTTTTTATTTTTAGATGTTAATTTAACAATGACAGGTTTTGGTTTGCTCGGAATATTACATCTACATCACTTGAAAGGATTCTCGATGTGATCACCAATTTTTTCGACGACTTGTAGAAGATTTTCGTTAGGTTTCTCGTCAATACCGAAAATTTTTAGATTGTTCGATCTGATCTGTTGGATGCAACTCTATTCTCGAAGTTCTGAACGTCTTTCTTTAGTGTTACATTTTCATTTTGTAGCTTTGTAATGATATCTAATCTTTCGCTGATTTTATTCATTTTACTTTCGAAAAAAGTGATTTGGTCGCTACAAAAAGTTAAAGATCAGAATTTTCCGTTTTAATGTTATTCATATCGGATTGTATTTCTTTAACTATTTTCAAGGTATGTTGGGTGGTACTGACATCTTCATCTCTCACCTCACCGAAACAGGGGGTGTGAGTGTTGAAAATCTCAAACGAAACGGAGGACACAATAAACGTGTGACTTACTCGAAATATCAATACTATATATGTTATACTTAAAAAAACCAAAAAAGGTTGACAGCTGTGTGCACGTAGTTTAGATTCAAAAGGAAAAACTTGTATTTCGTGCAAAACTTTTTTATTAATCAATGCAAAGCGCTTTCGGCTTATTTGCCATCATCAGTGCTCATCTACAAAAATTGTGGATGTAAACTTACAATTTAAAAAGATTTTAAAAAATATATTATAAAATCTGAATTAGACTTTTAAGTCAAAAGTTAAAATAGTATATATACAATTGTTTGAACAAATTAAAAATTACAAGAAACAAACAAAGTGACAAAAAACTGGTATTGGAAATAGTGAGTGTGGGATAAGCCCTTACAAATCAAATCTGATCTCCAGAAGCAAGTTAGCTTGTGTGGAATTAAGGAATCATGCCACCCTCACTATTCACAAAATTGAAAAAAGGTTAACAAATTAGTTAAAATTTAAAGAAATTTACAATTAGAGGGTGACTGTGGACGATATATTGAAATTTGAATCTAGAATACAATATTTGATATGAAGAAAGTAAAACGCAGAAGACCAAAGTAAAAAAACTGAAGGTTTTTTTTATATGTTTTATATAGATTATAATTATGAAAAAGTCTACCTACTGTCCACAACGTATCCAACAAGTTCCTGGTCATCCTCACTCCCAAAATTATATATTTCGGGATATTTACAACTTGCTAAATCATAATTTTATTAATATTAATATTTTCAAATTTAAATTTCTCTCTTCATTTTGGTTCAAGTTGTTTAACCGTTTCCACATGACAGTGGTGACAAGCGACACTTGAAGACTTTGACTTGTCAAATGTCAACAGAAGGAGGTGCGTTCACCTCAGTGTGGAACATGTTTCTCCGAGTGTGATTCGAGTGATTGGAGGTTAACAGAGATCAAAATTTGTTATTGAATTTAAAAATTTAATTTATTGTTAGTTAAATTTAAATAAATGTTTAATATAAATGATATTATTATTTTGATGTCAAGACAAAACAAAAATGTCACTCGCGTGATTCTGATGTGCCAGCCCGGGCTCTGCAGAACATTCTTTCAGAGAACCCAAGATGTTATAATTTTCAATAAATTGAAGAGTACAGGGGAAAAAGTACAGAGCCCAATTTTGATAAAAATGAACTATAACCGCCATCTTGTAGTTTTAGATGCAATATATCTGCTGGTATAGACTGTGTATTTTACTTAAAATTAAAAGTCACACAGCGTCAAAATATGAGTCCGTAAACTTTGTTTCATTTATTCTACGAAAAGTAGTTTTTTCCCCGTGCTCTTCAATTGGGAAGTTTACTGTTAGGTTGTAGTTACATATGTCCTTGCTCTAATCATTAAAATTTAATAATTTAATATGTATTTTTTCTGCAGGTTACCATTTTCGCTGTGGACAGAATCGGCCGGAAAGGCTCCATCATCATCTCAGCCGTCATAGCTCTGATCTCTTGGATTCTAATCGCCATCGCAGACAGATCCATCTACCTTTACGTAGCAAGGTTCATGGTTGGTTTGTCCGGTGATGTAGCTTTCGTCGCAGCTCCTATGTACATCGCCGAAATAGCTGACAAAAAAATCCGAGGCTTCCTAGCAGGAATTATCTACCTAATGATGCTAGTAGGGATACTTTTAATCTACGCGATAGTGCCATATGTACCTTTTTACGTGCCTAGTATAATCGGTGCCATTCTAGTTTTAATCCAACTTATTACATTCCCATTTATGCCTGATAGTCCATACTATTTATTACAGAAAGGTAAAGATGCTAAAGCTAAGAAGCATCTGCAAAGGTTAAGGGGAACAGAAAACGTTGATGTGGAATTATCCGAGATAGTAGCTGCTGTAAAGAGACAGAAGAGTGAGACCGGAAGACCTCAAGATTTAATTATTTCGAAAAGCAATAGAAAAGCTGTACTAATTATGTTTGTACTTAACGGTGCACAACATTTTAGTAGCATAAGTGTGATGCTGATGAATTTGCACGAAATTTTAGCTGCAGCTAACTCAATATATATGTCAGCTGAACTGGCTGGTATATTATTCGCATCGCTTATGCTTTTAGCTGCTACTATTGCTGATTTTGTAGTAGATAAATTCGGACGAAAAGGTCTTTTAACCGTATCCAGTTTATTAACTGGCATTTGCTTACTAGTTTTAGCTGTCTTCTTTAGTTTAAAGAATCATCATTATGATGTATCAGGAATATCTTGGATACCTGTAGTAGCTGTTATGGTATATGCAGCTGTATTTAAATTTGGTTTGGGTATAATACCCATTGTGATGACAGCAGAGCTGTTTCCAGCTAGAGTTAAGGCTATGGGTATGACAATAGCTGATTTCTTCTATGTCCTTTTTGCTTGGATATCCATAGAGCTTTATCAAAGGCTCGCTGGCTTGTATGGTCACGAAGTTCCCTTTTATATCTTCTCAGGTTCCTGTATTCTAACTGCGATATTTGCACAAGTATATATCCCAGAAACGAAGGGAAAAACTTTAGAAGAAATTCAGTTTATTTTGAAAGGAGTGCCTTTTCCCATGAGGAGTAATAGCTTAAGGTCTGAATCGCTTTCACATACTACAATAGAAGATAAAGACAATAAAAATACTAACAGTAATAAAAGTACTAAAAGTATTCAGATATAACGTTTAATGAAAATTAATATCAAAATGGCAATCAGTTTCTAGACCGCGATAATATATTGTTCATTCCTATTTAATTATTATGAAATCGTTACTATCTTATACTTGAAATTGAGATTAATGTGTACATATTTAATTTAGTTAGATAAATGCCATTTTGAATGACTGAAAATTGTGAAAGCAACGAATGGATCAGAATATTTGTAAGCTAAGAAAATTGATATTTGTTTTAGGTAATAATCAAAACAAGAAGATTTATTTTATTATTCTAAGTGCCTTATTGTTAAATTATTTTCTGCTTTGTATCGGAATATTGGAGTAAGTACCTATTTGGGAAAAAATAGAATACAAAAATCAACTATTTAGTAGTCACCGATGAATGAAATTAAATCACTATCAATACGTTCTTACGTCAAAAATGTGTCATTTACTGTACAGATGCGAATCCCGGCAAAATATCAAAGGATTTTGAAGTGAGAATCCTGTGATTTTAAAACTTTAAATAGGTATTTTAAATTATTCTTGCTAGAGATTGGCATTGTAAACAAAGGACCTTTAAATCTTTATGGCCATTCGTGTCTCTTTCTTGATGTTCTTTGTCAAATTTCGCATCTGTTGTGGATTATCTGTGATAAGGATTGACAAACGACTGCCAGTTTACTTTTAACACTGTTTTTTGTAAGCTAGAATAACATGGTAAAAGTCTACGTGTGATAGGTTTTGTAGAAAAAATATATTTGAATGATTATATTATTTTTGTTTTGTTTTCACGAGTACAAACTATTATTTTTAAGCTAGATAGAATAACAGTGAATTATTGATAGTGATAATTTTAAAACTTAAATGTCTCCATAGTTTTAATATAAATCAAAACGCAGTCCTTTTTTTGATTAAATTAAAAAATAAATCTTCTTGTAATGTGAATTTTATGAACTGATCTTACGTTATAAATTAAGATACAAATTAGTAGGTCAAATAAACATTCTCAAATTTACACAATATTGACAAGCACTTGCCCCAGGTATATAGTTATGTGCAATATTTTTTCTGCTACGTCAATGACTCCAAAAATGCAGGACTATTTTAATCAAAATTATTTATTGGTTTAGATATAAACATTTGGAATAAATAAGCTCATTCTTTGTTATTACAATTTTAGAACGACTAGTAGTAATATAGATCTATGTAAATATAGATACAATTTATACATTATAAGAAATATTATGCTACTAAGAGTAGAAGGAATATTATTGTTGGGCATGGAAGTTTGTACAAATAGTGTGCTATATATGAAATTTGTTCTGGTTCTAAAAACACTATTTTAGAACTGACAATGTCGGTAGTGACAGACCTAATCAAAGAACATTCCCTTGTGAAATTAAAGGAAAGATGGGATGAAACAAGAAAGTGCAGAGTTATCCTGACAACACTGCAGCAAACAAATACTTGACTGTGACTAGACAGAATCTGCGCCTAGTCACAGACATTCTGACTGGTCATTGTCAAGTACGAAAGCATCTCCATATCATGGGGCTGTGAGAATCTGCACTTTGCAAATGAGACCATCTAGCATATCTTTTACGATTGCTTGACGCTCTTATGTATTAGAAGATTTGTGTTCGGCGTGTATTGGCTAACACCGGCCGATATAAGAGACGCACCTATTGGCGACGTTGTCAACTACATTAAGTCTGTAGGCTGGTTCAAGAGCTAGGAGGTGCATAGGCACCCAGGAGGATATACAATATGCCTAATGAGACCTAAGTTCCGTGGGGAACAAGTTACAGATACAGAAGGAGGATTGTGAACCCTTCTCCTCGAATATGTTGCTCATTGTTTATGATGCCAAGCTAAATGCAGAATGTTACGACTTTGATGTTTCGTTTCTGCAAATCATTTTTAAGGTCAAACTTTTATTTATTTATAAATTACAGCAAACTCGATTTTTCCAGTAGTCACCGAAAAAAATTAATAGTTTTATATAATTGAATTTTCAAAGCACTAAATGGGAAAATTCTTATATGAATATACTAAATGTTAATAGATATTTTATAATTTTGGTACAAATACTCAAAAATCAGGTAAAATTCTCGCCGTTAATTACACTGTTGCTGTAATTATAATTATACAAAAGAGCCTAGAGGATTTTTACCAGTAATCCTGATCAATTTTAACCATGTTTTCTTTTAATTTTAAATGGGAGATTGCAAATCATTCAATACTTCGAACTATGAACAAGTGCTGATTTAAAGATGGCTTTTTTTTTCAAACTTAAAACAGAAAAATTTAGAGCCTTCTATTCCTAGTGATATATACAATTATTTTATCAATAATCCATTGTTTGAACATATGAATCAAAATGTGTCCAATCTAAGAGAAGAAAGTATAACATAGTATTGTTAATATTCATTTTTTTTTATTTAAAAAATAGTACAATCGAAGTGAATTCCAGAAGAAAGTTAAGTTCAATTGATTATTAACCATTCCCCTCAAAACGGTAAAATCTAAACTCAATACCCATGATTTTCTCCACAACGGAGCCCCAACAAAAAAGGGGAAGCAAATGATGTGAAGAACAAATGTAAAGCAAAGAACGAACAAGTAAAGCATATGTTAAAGAGGAGGCCACTGAAAAGAATCCACCCGATGTGTTGCGGTACCATTGTCAAAAAAGTCTAATATATTTCAAATAGAAAAGTTAAAAGGCCTGGAAGTTCGATATGAAAGCACAATTAGAACTGGAAGATCTTTGGTGTTATATTGAACCAACTTCAAACGAAACTGTCTACCAGAAAAATAAATTTAAAGCAAAATGAAGATTGTTATTAGTTATAAAATCCACTAATTGTGTACAAGAGCAAAAAAAACATGGAATAAGTTAAAACAGACATCATGACTTACAAGGAAAATTGGTATATTAAGATGTTTAGGAAAAAGTACTTCAGTAAAAGACTTATTCAATAAAATTATCTCTGGATATCTCACGATATTTGGATAGGTACGTCACTACTAGCTGGATTTCCCTATAATTATTCTACTATGACTTTAGAAAATTCAGGCATTGGAATTAACGCAGATTCAATTAAAGGTAAATTGTTTCAAGATATTCGCAACAATACTAAAAGAGTTGATGGACTTTATGTTACATTATACTCTAGAAGTGAAATTCGTTGGTTAAAATAAAAAGAACAAATTAGAACCAGATAACTAAGTAAATAAAAATAATGAGTCAAATTATTTTGCCTTTTGTTCTCCAAGTGGATCTAAAGAAAATGCTTGATTTACAGATTCATGTGCTTCATCCCACATTACCTGTAACTGTAATTGGCTGGATGATCCAGTTTATTGTGATGATGACACAAAGATAACAAGTATCGATGGTACAGACTTAAAATTAGAAGCAGTAGGAAATACAATAATCCGTACTATTGCTTCTAAAGAAGAACAAGAAGTTAACGTTGAAGGTGCATTATTCATCCCCAGAGCCCGATTTCAATATTTCTAGGAAAGTTGTTATATATGTTCTAGTTTATCTTCCATCAAAGAATAACAAGATTGCAGATAGTCTAGCAAGAAAAGGGACTCAAATACCCTTTAGCAATAAAACAATATTAGGAGAGATTAAAAGAGATTTGGGCAGTAGAAGAAACGATAATCTCTTGAAGCTACGTCAAATCCTTGACAAGATGGGATAAGAAGGGTTAATATAGGCATCGAGACGTTTCCTTGCTGGCTTAGCGACAAAAGGGGACACAATAGGTCGCAGTGTATTGACACTCCATTCCCAATATAACATAACATCACTAGAGGGCGCCATGTGTCCGAATTTCTCATAAAATGGCCGTTTCATTGATGTGTCCCATATGCCAAAGTACATTCCTAAACTAGATGTATGAAAAATGAAAATTTCTGTATTGAAGGAATATGTACTATTTTGATTTCTAAATAATTACTATGAAACGGGATGTTTCCTCTCTCTTTCTCTCTATACGTTAAATCACTGAACCATCAAATAACTTCACTACAACAGAAGACCAAAAAGAGAGAAAGAAAAATTATAAGACAATCCTGAGACAAAGAAAGTTTTATGGCTCTGCAACATCGGTGTTAAACAATACAAAATACTGAAGATGTGTTAAATGAGGAACGAAATGAATGAATAAGTAAATATTTATACATGAGGGACCAAAAATTGATGTGATATTAAAATAAACAAAGCTGCATTATCCAGGAAACATTGTAAGAGAATAGTCATATAAAGCATCTCTCATTGTTTGTAATATTAAAAAAAAAACGAGAGAAAAAGTTATATTATATTTTAATTTGCTTATTAGTTAATGCTAAAGACTATAGTTCAAATAAAGTTAAGAAAACGAAGAAGAATACTAAACAGAAGATGGTGACGAAGAAGAAACAGAAAAGTAAGAAAAACAATAAAAACAAGACGAAAAAAGGTATTTTTCTTAAAGAAAACTTAACAATCATATTACTGTCCTTCTCAAAGTAGCATAAGTATTGTTCTAATTTTTAAATTCGTAGGGTAATTAATTGCAAGGAAATTAGATTGATGGTAAGTCCTTATACTAATACCCGTGAAACTGACCTAATAATACTCATTAAAGTATTAAGGGCGGAGCAGAAAAAATATGTTTTTTTAGGTTTAAGAAAATTGTCAGAATATGAGCTCGGTGATTACTAGTTTTTTAATATCATTGAAAAACTCTTTAGTAATAAATACTCCCTCAGTAGCTATTAAAGATTTGTATTTTATGTAGCTCGTATTCTGTCTGATCAATTAATAAAAAAGTTCATTTAATTTGATATTTTTTAACAGGTTATTGTTTAACATGTACAGTTTCAGGCCGGTAGCATATATCAATTTTGGACAATATACTTAAAAATATTGATTTTTGTTAATGTACTAAATAAAAAGTCATATGCCAATTAAATTTTGATTTTTTTTGCTTTTAACTTTGTATTTAAGAATGTATTCCTGATTTTATTTATTTTCTAATTAATTTTGACCCCAAAAACTGACAAAATGTTGTTGCTTTCTATGAAATTATTATTATTTTTTGGTAGATTTCTTATGCTTACAAATTCGCAAATTTATATACATTTCTGTTTATTGACCTTCTTTATTTCAGTCAATTTATGTTTTATTTTTTGTTTTGTTTAGGAGAAATTAACTAACTGTAAAGACCACATGTGGTCACAATTCTTAAGTATATAAAATTGGTGTAGTAGGAAAAACCCAAAATAAAAAGGTTATTAAGACAGCACATGTTAAATAATATTACCTAATAATTATATTAAAAAACAAATTAAAATTATGGCCTATTTTAAGGCTGTTGATTGTAAAGATTTAGCTAATAATTGAACATAAAGAATAACATGATAAACTCAGTTGTACTTATTTCATATTGTGAAATTATAGTTGAGAAAATAAATTCTAGGTTTTTTAAATGTTTTTTATTTATTAAATTGTTATAGTGATGGCTGATAATTTGCGTTAATAATATTTTTATTATTGCATGATATTTTTGAATTATCCATATTCCAAATTCAAACCCAAAATAAATTTTCCATAAAAATATTTTAGTTGAATTGGAATGTAAATATGTTAAGCAAAAGTAAAATAAAAACACTACAATGTGCCACGGAAGGAGTTTACAAAAGAAGAAAAATTCCTATTTTTCTTTTTGATTATTTAAACATCTGTCATTTTTTTTGCAAAAAAATGTGTCTAGGATTTTTCAAGATGAATTTTAGATTATTTAATACTGTAAAAGGTCTTTACAAAAACATACAACATTTTCTTTGCCACATAAAACTCTACCAATATACCAAATTTCAGCAAAATCGCATATGCCGTTTTAAATTTATATGGGAAAAACGATTTAAAAATTGTAACTTCAAGGCCCTCTGGAGCCCAAACGAAGCAACTTTGTACTAAGATAATTTTACTTAAATAGACTTATTTTGGTCTAAGGAATATGTGGTATGTTTTTGTAAAGTCCTTTTACAGACACCCTGTATAACTATTTCTTTATAACTTCAGGTAATTAGTTATATTATATAATCTTGGACCTATATAACCTAACGAACAATAGGAGTAAGTAAAGGTGGTTTTGTCTCATTGGATAGCTGTGGCATTTGTTATTGTAAACAAATATATTAACATAGAAAACCAAAAATTAAAATTTTGCCCTGTGCTCTTTTTTTTTTCCCTGGGCTATGTGTCTCCGAATAACACTGAAGCCTATTGGCTTATTGTGTTTTACCCCATGTTAGTTCATAGCACCCACTCTATCACCTTTGTACCTTGTACAAGTTTGTACAGATTCTTGGGTGAGTGGGTTCTATACGTTGTTGGATTAACCTGGGGTTGTCCAAAAAGAGCCTGTCTTTTGCGATCTAGAGCTTCGCATTCGCACAGTATGTGTTTGGTCGTTTCTGGTTTCTTGTGACATACTCGGCACATGAGTTCCTCATTGTACATGCCAATTTTGTTCAAGTGTCCCTTTACTGGGGCGTGCCCAGTCATGAACCCTGTTATCACTTTCAACTGGTTCCTATTCATTAAGAGTAGTTCTCCAGTTCTTTTGGGACATGGTCTGCCTATGAAGACTTCCATGTGCCTGTTTTGGGGTGCTTCCCCAATAGTTGATATGTTGTTCCCGAATCCAGTGTTCTGTGTAGGATTTTTTACTGTTTCCCAGCGCCATTTTAAGAACAGCCCTGTTAATTAGAATCCAACAGTGAATGGTCGAGTGGGAAATCCTACCAAGGCATCAGAATTAATTTAAAAAAATTAAATTAAATAAAAAAATCCCGGCCAACTGTGGGATTCGAACCTGGGACCCTTGGATCCACAGGCAGAGACTCTACCACTGAGCCACCCACCCCTTTCCTTTTGTTTTATTTTTTATAGGTAGGTTATGTGAACATGTTTTTAA